GCCGGGGCACGGTGAAGAAGGTCCCGCGCAACTCTTGGCACTCAGCAATTCTTTTATGGACTGCTGGGAGGCCTTGCGCAGGCCGGCTGCGCCTCCCTTTCCCGCCGGCGGGATGTCTGGAAGCTTCCCCCCTCTCAGCCACTGTCGGGCATGGGGGCTGCGCCACTTGCAGGGAGCCAGGTTGGTGGTGGGTCACCGAGGACCCCCGACCCTCCTGCAACACCCTTGCCACCATCTTGTCCAGGAGAGCCCAGGCACGGGCTGAGGAGGGGGCTGGAGCTCAGGCACACGAGGGGAGGTGGAGGGCAGTCCCTGTGCCCAAGGGGCAGCAGAAGGGCACAGGGGAGCGATCCCCAGGAAAGGGGCCCTCAGCCCCCCGACCCTCCTTCTTCTCCCACATGAGCCCATCTTTCAGGTCACAGGCTCCCCAACTCCCAGAACAGCCATATTTGGCCACGTACTTTGCCATCACAGTGGCCTCCTGATAGGGACCCTGGCAGCTGGCCCACAATTCGCTGAGCTTCGAGGCCCTTGGAATCCAAGAATGATTGGAAGAAAGGGGTCCCACAGTAGCCAGGCAAGTGGCTGCCCACATCTGTGTGGGAAGGCAGAGAGGTGGCTGCAGGAGAGGTGGAGGAAAAGGAGGCAGCGTCAGAGGGGGGACACCATCAGCCGCATGGTAGTGATGGCTGTCGCTCATGTGGCTGATGGTGTGGAGCCCATGGAGGTGGACCCACCAGAAGACCAAGAAGAACCAATGGAAGTGGATCGACGTCCAGCATGGCTCCCCTTGCACCACTACACTGTGCCAGGGCTCGCCTCCATGACTCCATCAACACGGCGTCACAGGAGAGCCCAGCCAGCGCCCTACCATCGGCCCACCCTTCGCACCTGGCATTAGCTGGGAGGCCCAGCCTCGGTGCCTGGTCATCCTGCGGGCTCACCCATTGCATCTCCTGCCATCAACAATTATTCTGTTGATTGTCCTAGTTGGTGCGAGCCCTTTTTTCCCACCCCTCACCCCTCCTGAAGGGGTGCCATCTCCTCCACTCTGAGCCACAAGAAAAGGAGATGAGACGCCCTTGCTTCTGCCAGGCTACTGTGCCGGGGGTTGTCCCTCAGAGGACCACTGAGGTCCCTGGGGCCTGGAGGTGGGGTTTCTTCAGTCTGAGGATGAGAAGGTTGCCTGATAGGTGGTTGAAGATGAAGCCAGACCCTCCACAGCAGTGCGCAATAGCAACAGATCAAGCAAAGAAGTTAGAGAGACAGCTGAGAAGCAGAAGAGTGCAGTTCTGCCAGGAAGAAGTGCTGGTCTTCAGCATGAAGGTCCCTTCTAGCTGCTTCATGAGTTCTTTTCAAAGTTGGGCAATAAGCAATTTAAAAAAAACCCAAAACAATACACCAAGAAAATATAAGTAAAAATGCTTTCTTCCTCTCTTATTTCATACTTTGGTGACTGCATCTGGACTCCTCTGTCCCTTTCTGGTCTCCCCAGTCCAGGAAAGACACTGATGCATGGGGTGTGGACCCAGCCTTCGAGATGGTGAGGGGCCAGGGCACATGGCACACAAGGCCAGGCTGAGGGAACGGCCTCTGGTCACGAGGGTGGTGAGGCACTGGAGCAGGTTGCCCAGAGAAGCTATGGATGCCCCATCCCTGGAAGTGTTCAAGGTCAGGTTGGACAGGGCTCTGCACAACCTGATCTAGTTGAAGATGTCCCTGCTCATTGCAGGGGGGTTGGACTAGATGACCTTTACAGGTCCCTTCCAACCCAAGCCATTCTATGATTCTATGATTCTATGATTGATTTCCTTGCTTTCCTGCTAACTTCCACCAGAAAAGCATAGCCCATTCTGATGCCACGAGGTTTGAACTTGGGATCACTTACAATAGCAGTGTTCATTCACCATTATTTTGTTGAAGCAATGTAAAAAGACCAGGCTTAATTTGTGAAATGGGCCATCTGTTCCCATACAAACTGCATAATAGAATGCACAACTATTTCAATTAATATAGTAAACCATCTTTAAGTAATATGCATGATTTTGTATATATTTTTGACTGCAGATGTCATCATCCTTTGCTCTAATTGTTCTTGATCTCACCTCCACATCTTTTTATTTAGAGTAAAGGAATGACAACTTGTCTCACTGGCAGCAAAGTTTGCTCATAGATGGATCAGGAATAATTAGACCAAATGGTACTGCAAAATCCAGCAGACAGGATATCTCCATTACAGAGAGTTATGTTGTCATTTCTTTGACCATCCTCCCATCAATCCATCCATCAGCAAATTAAAGTTGGCGAAAGAGCCACTTATCTTGAGTGCTTTTTACCCTGATCGCTGTCAATCTAGGTAAATAAACATTTTCCCTAGGCAGAGTTTACATATTTAACCATGTTTCAGGAGACAGTCCCCTTGCTACTCATATATCTAGCAAATCACACATGCTTTTGCTGTGTTTCCTGACTCACCTCACCCACACATTGCACCTTCATTAAATGAGCCCTGCTTCCTCTGCCTCCCTTTGGTTTGCCTTTAAAGATGGGACGACTAGGATAAAGTTGCATTAAAACTTGCAGACAGCAAAAAGTCTAGAAATGAATTTTATCCCCTTAGGTTGGAAAAGCCTGATGTCCCATGCAGGATGCACATCAATAATGGACCAAGTGTATGAAAGAAATAAAAAAATAGAAAGCAGGGCTTTATCAGCAAGCCTGCTTTGAGGAATATGGCAATGCTATTGCATCTGATTTTCATCATTTAAACCATGATACCATAA